AACTCCTAACTGAGGGAGCTCCTGGTAAAAGGGGCTTCTAGGCCATTGTGCAAGACACAATGCTCAGCGTGCGCCCCTGTGGATATGTAAATATTTAAGGCAGGGGTTGCATCCCTGCGGATATGTAAATATTTCGGGCAGACCCCTGCCTGCAAAGGGGAGCGGAGGGAAACAAGCAGAAACCAACTCACGAGGGAGCAGACATCTGTCCCTCTGCAGTTCATCTCAGTGATGCACACCAAGAACCTGCTTAGGACTGGATCCACTGCCCTGCAATCAGATCGACTCCGGTGCCGCTGAGAAGGGAGGGGAACAGCCCCCACGGGTGCCAGAAACAGAGCCACCTTCTCCTGCCCACAGGGAAATGGGTGGGTTTGAACCATCGACCTTGCTGTCAGAGCCCAACATTTCACCAGCGGTGTCACCGGGGGGATCCTCTAGCCTGGCAGGCAGTGTGAACCGCGCCTAATAGAGTTGCCTGGTCTGCAGCCCTGGGCACGTCACTGAACTCTGCGTGGGCCAATCTTCTCTGTGGGATGGAGACCAGGCCAGGCCCCCCTCCCCCTTATTTTTTATCCTGCACACAGTCTCGATCTTTTCTCCTGAAGTAGAGGGCCTGGGACAAGGGGAAGATGGATGTCACTGTGGCTGCCACAGTGGGCTCGGGCATGGGAACAATAACGAGGGTGGCGCAGGAGCAGGTGGTGTGTGCTTCTGCTGGGCACAGGGTCCCTGTCAGTTGGAATTCATCCAGTGGCACCGAACCACAATAAACACCATTCAGCAATGGCAGATCGGGGGCGGTTGATTGGTTTAATCCACCTTCAGGGTAGCACAGGGCCAGGTAGCACTGTCCTGTTAACCAGAGGCCACCTGGTGCCAGAGCCCCCTGGGCAGCAGCTGCCTCCCACTGAGAACTGAAGGGTGGGGACACCTGCAATGCTCGCCTATCTCTGCTCAAAAAAGACAGCTTATTGTGGAGCCCTACAGAGGTCGCTGAAAAGAGCTTTTTCTCTGATAAACAAACCATCAACTTAGAAAAGGGGCCTTCCTAAGGGGCTGCATCAGCTTAAGAGATAAACATAAGATTCCGTTAAATCCTTGTGAGGAAAAACCAGAGGTGCTCCTTCAGCAAACAGTGAGGTCTTCTAAGGAGGCCTGGTGAGGCCGCGGGGCAGGCGCTGGGCTGCTAACCACAGCTTATACATTACCAATGACACCCTGTACCCTGAGGGACCCTGAGCAGGGCTGCAAGGGTGCACCTTGGAAGGGCGTGTCATGTCAAGGGTTGTTTTGACTTTGCATGGCAGAGTATAAGAGGCACGCAGGGAGTCTTGCCTTGAAAACCCACTTCCGGCCAGGTAGGTGATGCCGGCTCACAGTGGCCCTTCAGGACAGGGCAGAGCTACCCCTGTGGCTTCCCGAGACTATCACTCTTTAAGAGAGTAGAACACAGCCTGTCTTTCTCCGAGGGCTTGAAATGCTGGTCTGGCGGTCGGCAAGCCCATCCAGCCCTCCTCAAGGCGACAGGGATGAAAGGGTTAAGGCTCCATGCTAAGGATCGGGACCCTGATTGCTCCAGGGAGGAACCATGAGACCTTCCTGATGGATCCTGGTCAGAAGCTGGTGGGCTCTCTCAGCCTTCACAAAGCCAACCTCACTTCCCATCCAGCCTTGGCCAGCTACCGGAGCTCAAAACGAGGCTCCTGAGCTCCTCTGGTGACCCCCTGTTCTCTTGACAGGAGCCCTGTTCACCCTTCCTTCCCGTGGGCTCCACAAGGCCCTTCTCAGCAAAGCCTAGGGGTGCTCGCATCATCGGCTTTCAGAACCCTCGGGCTGCCATGGGGACCGGCCAGGTCATGTGTGGTGACAGTGCATTGACTAGAGCTGTTGGGGTACGGAGTGAGCCATGGGGACAACAGAGAGATGTGGAAACACGGTTGGAGACTAGTGACCCCACAGGCAGGGCAGAACATCCCCTGGGGTCCCTGCCCCATGGAGTCCAAGCCGTGGGTCTCCTGGAAGCCCTCTGCCTGCTTTTCCCCTGCGGAGCAGCTGCAGGGTCCCCATGGCCCACCTTCTGGTTGGCAGCCTGATGATTAACTCACAGAGCCACCACTCTCCGCAGAGACGCTCTGATAGTGTTCTTTGGGGACTCTTTGGGAGTCAAAAACACTTGTTATAAGAAGCTTAGGTGAGGATGATGGCTAATTGAAACTGATACGAGAGCTCCACCCCCCACCCCCCTCAACCCCCGGCCCCAGCAGCCCAGGCTTCACGGCCACGTGGGGACCCTGGAGTGAACCATCAGCCTGGGTGCCACTTGCTGTGGCAAAAATGATGCTGAAGTGTCCTTCCTCCACGTGCCACGCCTGCAGCGGCAGGAGTTCTTCCCAGGCATCCTCCCCTGCCACACTGCCAAGCTGGAGCCCCCGGTGCGGCGGGTTAAGCCCTGGGCTGTGCTGCAAACTGGCCACCCCTGGACAGGAGGAAGAGGAGGCGGCCTGATCCCACAGAGCTCTGCAGTCTCAGACCCCGCTGCTGGCAGGGTGGCCATGGGTCAGAACTGACCAGCATGCGAGGTTGATTAGGTCAATGGGTGCCTTGCCCTTGACAACGGGAGCCCTGTGATGTCAGAGGAGCCCTGAGCTCCAGGGTGGGTTAAAGGACTAATTTGGGGGCGAATAGTCAGGTGGAGGGGGTCTCCTCTGAGCCTCTGCCTGTGCGGAGAATGGCGGGGGCTCCTCTCTGAAGGGCCTCAAGGGGACTTGAACCTCCAACCTTTCCTTTTTGGTGAGCGCTCAGCCTTTGCTCCATCGAGGCCCCAGTGCCGAGGCTCCCAGAGCCAATTGTCCTACTGCTGCCTTTACAGAAAAAGAATTGCTCCGCAACCCCCACTCCTGGCCCGGCCTTTGTAAAGGCCGCTTGTACTGCGGCCCATCATCCAGGGGTCTGCTTTCACAGCTCCCTGGATCCTTCCAGTGCCCCTCCCCTCCAGTCTGGACGATGCGGGGCAGGATGGCCCACTGTAGGAAACACAGGGACCCAGGCTCTCCTCAACCCCAGAGGAAGCCAATGTCCCAAGACTATTGGGTCTGCGCTCCCGTATTTGTTGACTGATAGTGAGTAGGGGTTCTCCCTCCATGAACTCCATCCCGGGGGTCCTGATGACCACTCTGTGCCCCACCCGTCTGCCTGGAGGGAGATCAACACTGGCCTCAGGCCTTGAACTAGGAGACCTGGGCCTCAGACACCCCGAGTGCCATTTCCTGCCGTCTGCGGTGACCTGTATTCCACGGCAACAATGACGGCCGCCAGCCAAGCAGAGCCACATCCATTTAGATATGACATCTGGGGGGACAGTAGTGTGTCCATTCGGTAGCTTTGCAACCTATCACGGAAACCAAGCCGGCAAAACCAAACAAACCCACAGCCTCCACTCTACCCCAGGCTAGACCTGCCCCATCAGCGTCTGAGACCCACTCTTCACGGGAGTAGAAAGTCCTGTCTTTCTCCCAGAGTGGCTGGTGGTTTCGAACTGCTGACCTTGCAGTTAGCAGCCCAACGTGTCACAACGATGTCACCAGGGCTTCTCCTTCCTGTCACAGGCCCTGCGGACTCACTCCCAGACATCCCACCTGACTTCCGACCCCTTACCAAATACTGATTAGGTGCATGTTAACACCACGCCAGCTTATCTCCCACCACCCTCAGTGGTCCCAGAAGTCGCGCCATTTGAAGGCTTCTGCTCTGGGCTGTCACTCCAGGGGACGTTGTTGTCAGGGAGGGAGAGCAGGGTTCAGGGGGAGGGGATGCCCCGGGCTGGCGGGCAGATGTCTTGAACTCACTCCATGGCTGGCTCTAAATCAGGAACCTGGCAGGGAGCCTGCTGGAGCCTCTGTTTCTTCTTCTACACGGTCACAAACGTGTGGCCTGCCTGCCCGGTGCCTGCATGTGCGCCTCATCTGCCTTCCTGGGGTTTTATCAGGGTTGGGGCCACATCCTGGAGGGGGGGGGCATCTCTGCACTGAGAGTAGGCTCCTGGCCCGCCAGCTCTCATACAGACTTACCTGGCTAAAACTGGAAAAAAAGGTGTATCAATAAATATTTGTAAGAATAGATAGACAGATATTTGAATTTTAGAAACATGCCGGGTTGGGGGCTGGGGCAAGAGTGAATGTACATGGGAGGGGCTTCGAAAGCCACGTGGACAAACCCCACAATCTATTCACTGCATTTCCCACTAACTCTCTGAAAACCCCTGTACTCAGACATTGGATTGAAGAGAGATGCTTTCAGAGGCCAGCAAATGCACACACAGAAGTTTCAGAGCTCAACCCCAATCTCTGCGGATGGTGCGTTTGGTTAGTGCTTGGATGGGATGGTTTAGGATGGGGATGCAACTTCACAGCAGGGAGATTCGTCTTAGGGACCCATCTGGCACTTCAATACAATGATTAAAGATGACAGAACCGGATCTTGCTGCAGAATCTTTCTCCCAGTGAGGGAACACACCAGGCTGCTGCCGCGAAGTGCTTCTGGACATAGTCAGACGTGTTCTTCCCAAACATCTCACTACCACCGAGAGCTTTCCCACGCCCCTCCACCAACACAGGACAGATTAGAATGGGCCCCCAGGGGGCAGGGGGTTCTGGAAATATTCGCAGGAGTAGAAAGCCTCATCCTTCAGCCAGGAAGCTGCTGGGGCAGGTGTTTCTACCTGCTGGTCTCGTGGTCAGCAGTTCAACACCTAACCCACCACGCCACCAGGGCCCAGGTGTGCTCCTCCAAACTCCAAACTCCTTCCCACTCACAGGGACCCTTAGTGCAGAGCCGACCTGCTCCGTGGGTTTCTGAGACCCTCCCTCCCTCCTCGTTGCTGGGGAGTCAGGCTTCTGGGGTCCATGGGCTTCTCCCCGACCCCCGTGCGGTCTCAGGGAGATGCCGCCCCGCCCACGTGTTGGAGAACCTACTAGCGCGCAGGTGACGGACGGCCTTACCTCCAAAGAAGTACTTCTGCCCAGTCTTCACCTGCAGGGGGCTGTTGGTGCGCACGGCAGAGGCCTCGTCGCCGTCGATGGTGAGGACCGCAAAGTTCTCCTTGGCCAGGAACCGCACCTCACGCCACTGCCCATTGTTCAGCCCCGAACCTGGAGGACAACATGAAAAATGGGTGCCCAGTGTCAAGGTGGCCCAGGGAAAAGTCATTCTCTCCGCCAGGAGGAGGAGCCAGGGCCATGGGCATCGGCATGGATAAAATACTGCTCGCCTTATCTCCAGAAGGCCTGGCTGCCCAGCAAAGGGGAGCCATGCACTAACCTGGCCCTGGACCCCCTGGGGAAAGAGGGGCCCGGGCAATGCTTGGAGGGGGGCGGGGGGAGCGGTGGGTTATTTTAACTGATGATTACTGCCTTTATGTTACCCTCTGGAGGGCATTGCTGGAGCCCACTCTCAAATAGGCAAATGGATGCCCAGCGTGGGTCACAGGCTTCTCTTGAGTCTACAATTGTGATCCTCATTGTTTCTGCCCCGCTGTCCTCTCTCAGTAACCACATGTGGCTGCCAAGTCAACGTTGACTCCTGGTAACCCCTGTGTGTCTGCGCAGAACTGCGCTTCCCTTGGGGCTTTGGGGGCAGCCACTGGGTGGACTTGAATGCCTCCTCTTTCTCCTGCATGAGCAGCTGAGCACTACCTGTCTGGTCCACATTGCTCACAGAGCTCAAGAGCTGGAGGTCCGTTGAACTCACGAGCCCTTGAGATGCACAGAGCAGGCACATGTGCTCCCCGAGAAGGGAACCTCCCTTAGGAGGGAACCCTCCCGACCCCAACTGGGTTGCTTCCCTGTGGCCCAAGGCAAGCACCTTTGGGCAGGGACACAAGAGTGTAGACCATTCTTAAGACAGACGAGCGTTGAAGATTTGTGTTCCGTCTAAGCTACTGCACAATGATGGAGAATGGGGTGGCTCATTCCTACAACTCCGACTCCCGTGTGTAAGACCTGGCTTTAATTCCCAGCCAGGGCACCCCCCTGTCAAGCCACCACCTTCCGTCCCTGGAGGTTGGTGTGTTGCTATGACGACACTGGATGCGTTTCAGTGAAGGCTTCAGACTAAGGTGGATCTACTTCCAAAAAGCAGCCGATGAAAACCTCTGTGGCTTACGTCAGCCCCGGTCTGTTGGGCACTGGGCTGCCCTGAGGCAGCCGTGCTGACGGACAGAGGCGGAGCACTACCACAGCACTACTACCTGGGGGCCGCGACTTGCACTTTTGCTGTTCCCTGCCGGGCAGTGCCATCTAACGTCCGGATCCTAGGATCTCCTCCTTCCAGGAACCACGACTCCAATGCATAGTGACCCTAAAGGGCAGGGTAGAACTGCCCCTGGGGGTTTCCCTGACTGTAACACAGTGGTTCTCAACCTTCCTAATGCCCGACCCTTTCATGCAGTTCCTCATGTTGTGGTGACCCCCAACCATAACATTTTTTGTTGCTACTTTATAACTGTCATTTTGCTACTGTATGAATTGGGAACCCCCTGTGAAAGGTCGTTCGATCCCCAGGTTGAGAACTGCTGTTGCCGTAACATTTCATAGGACTACAAAGCCTCCTCTTTCACCTGAGGAGCAGCTGATGGTTTTGAACTGCTGACCTTTCGGTTAGCACGATGCCACCAGGGTTCCTTTACCAAGGTTCAATCCGAAATCAGGTCGTGCACAATCCCATTCCAAGAGGGGATCTCTGAGCAGGGGTGCTCCAGAGGCCTTCCTGGAAGTCTGTATGGAGACTCTTTGTCACACCATTAGTTTGTAACGATGGCACCACCAACTGAATTACGCACTTTGACAAACAAATAATTAAAGTCTGCTGTTTCAATTAGATTAATTGCAAGACGTTATTTTATCTTCCCCATGAACCGAGTTGCTACAGAAACCAGACCCCTTGCCCACCCACGGTCGCTGCTGCACCTCTGGGCTTGCATGGAGGTTCCCACCTGCTTCATTTCCCGCGAGTCCTCGCCAGGCCTGGCTCTGCCATCGTTGATAGGCACCCAAGAAAGACAGGTGGCAAGCTATCGTGGCACTCCTCCCTAATGGGGGCGAGGGTGACCCGAGGGCTCCAGGGAAGACCACAAAGGAAGACTGGCCTCCTTAGACCTTTTTCATGGGCAGGGACAGAGCCGCAGCCTGCTGCTCCCCCGGGCCAGCCTCCAGTTCGTCCCAGGGCCATCCAGCTGGACGCAGGCCACTCTGCAACCGTGTGACTTCATTTGAGCCTTCAGGAAAATGCCACCCGTTAAAACGACTCCCAAGGTCACAGGTCAGGTGAGGGGCAGTCTAAGCCTCCTGCTGCTTCTCAGGACGCCTGGCTTCTGCCCACATCAGACAGGTAGCTCGACTGACAGCTGTTGGAGCACCCTGTGTATCTCCGAGGACGATGGGTCCTCGCAGGTGGGTTAGGGGCACCTCCAGAGTGGGCTTAGTCTGACAGGGACACAAGTGCCAAAGACGCACTTCCTAAAGGGGGCAACACAAACCTCCACATTAGGTCACGTATTTATTTCTGACCCTACAACCTGCAAGTGCACAGGGCCTATCCCTCCTGATGGACGAGCGAGGCACCAGGGCATGGGCATTCCTGCTCAGGGGCACTGAGTTCCTGTTTGGGGGACGTCAGACTTTGGGTCATGGAGTGGAAAGTGTTCTGAAACATGGTGCGTGTGCTTAATGCCACTGAATGGTACACTTACTAGAGTTAAAACTGTGAATTACTTATGCCTAACACACACGTACATCAGAATGAGGAAGACAAGAAAACTGATGAATCTGAACGGTGGTATTGGTGAAGAATACTGACTATAGTGTGGACGTGCAGAAGAACACGTATGTCAATGTTAGAAGAAATACAGCCGGAATGATTCTTACTTAGAAGGCTGTCAAGACGGCATGTCACACACCTTGAACATGTTATCGGGGGCAGCGGGGGTGGGGACCAGTCCCTGGAGAAGGACAGCATACTTGGTAGAGGGTCAGCAAAAAATAAAAAGAAGACCATGACTAGAGGGGTCGACCCGGTGGCTACAGCCATGGGCTCCAACATGACAGCATTCACGGAGGGGCACAGGCCGGGCAGTGTTTTGCCCTGTTGCGTATGTGGCCAGCACTGGTTCAACACCACCGAGCACCAACAACACCAATATCGGCATTGCGTATGGGTACCTGGTGGTTCTTGCACACCACCCAGCCCATCCCAGCGCTTAGCAACCTTGCCGGGCAGCTTAGAGCCTCCACGAGGTGTTTGGAAGGCTGTTATCTGTGCGGAAGAAGGAAGCGCATTCTAGCCCCAGTCTTAATTTTTTTCCAAAGCAAAATTCATTCTGAATATCTTCTCTAACATCCCCCAACTTATAATTGTCAGCAGAGCTCGTTCAGTATGCAAATGTGCGCTGTTAATGAAACCCATTCTCTCTTGCCTGCCTCTTAATGGCATTATTTTTAAAGTAAGGCTCTTGAGGTGGCTGTCTTGATTGAACAAGAAGAAACAGATGTTACTCTTATTAGAGACAAGGAGAAAAGAGGAGCTTCATGCATATTGAAGGAAAAGAAAGTATTTAAAATAGAGCAGCAAACCAAGATGCAGCATCTGCTAGAAAAGGCGTCGGAAGGAATTACAGTGGCGAGTCTTATGTCTTTTGCTCAAGATTCAGTCGTGGGAGAACCATATATGCATTCGTCATGACAGTGAGAATGCTCCCTGATGCGCCAACGCTGGCTTCCAGAAGGCATCAGATGCCAGTGGCCAGAGTGTGCTGTGAAAAAGTCAAAGGGGGAAGGATCACGGGGACCCCTTGTGGCACAGCGGTGAAGCACTTGGCTGCTAGCAGAAAGGTTGGTGGTTTGACCCCAACAGCCCCTCCCTGAGAGGAGACCTGTGGGTCTACTTCTGTACGGTGACAGTGGAGGAGACGGCAGGGACAGCCTTGCCCCGAGGCGCCCTGCACCTAGGAGCCAGACTGATGGCACCACCAACAGCATGGGGGACTTCCAACAGGTAAGCAACAGTGCCCTTGACCTTTAAATCAAAGTCCCCACAGTGTGCTACTTGTTACATTAACCATATAAATAAGGATTTTGTCTAATTTGCTATTATTTTTTCTCATTTACATGTCCTAATTTAATTTATCTTATAAACACAATCATGGTCAGAGAGAATGGGTAGAAAACTGCATCACTGACTGACTCACTCATCCACTCACTCATCCACTCATCCATTCACTCATTGACTCATTCACTCATCCACTCATCCATTCACTCACTCAGTCATCCACTCATCCACTCATCCATTCACTCACTCAGTCATCCACTCATCCACTCAGTCATCCACTCACTCATTCACTCACTCACTCATCCACTGATCCATCTAGTCATTCATTCACTCACTCATCCATTAATTCAATCACTCATTCATTCATCCATCTACTCACTCACTCACTCACACACTCACTCATCTATCAACATATCTACTCACTCAGTCACTCACTCACTGCCATTCAGTAGATTCCAATTATAAAGACCTTACAGAATAGGGTAAAACTGCTTCCGTGCGTTTCTGAGACTGTAATTCTTTTGGAGAGCAGACAGCCTCATCTTTCTCCTGAGGAATGGCTGGTGGTTTTGAACTGCTGACCTTGTTAGCAGCCCAACACATAACCCACTACACCACCAGGGCTCCAAGAAAGGTGCTTAGATAGGGCAGCTGAAATACTCCTTTTTGTCCCTTAAAGCTAAACAATTGCCCGGTGGTATAATTGTGTATAGGAGCCCTGGTGGCATGGTGGGTTATCTCTTAAGCTGCTAACAACAAAGTTCTCAGTTCAGATCCACCATCTGCTTCTTGGGAGAGAGCTGAGGCCGTCTGCTCCCTTGAAGAATGACAGCCTCCGACACCCACAGGAACAGCCCTCCTGTGTCCTGTGGGGTCACTGTGAGTCGGTATGGACTCAATGGTGGTGAGCTAATGATTGTGTTTGGCTGTAGACCGAACATCACTGTGGAATGTGATCTCTGTTCTGAAAGGCTGCTGTGAGTTGGACAGGCTCCTGAGCGAGCAGCTTGAGAGCCCCTTTGTGTGTGCTGCTGGGAGCGGCCTCTTC